ATAAGAGAGATGTTTCAGAATAAGTATGATAAAAGGTTTTTCGGAACAATTTGAAAATTTCTAGAGCATTTATGAAAAATCTAGAGCACTGTGAAATTCCGGAGCAAATTAAGATTCTGGAGCAAGTTTTGAAAATTCCGGACTAAATTTGAAAATTCCGAAGCATTTTTGAAATTCCAGAACGAAATTTGAAAATTTCGGAGCATGTTGAAATTCCGGAGCATTTTTGAATTTCCGGAGCACATTTGAAATTCCGGAATGGATTTTGAAAGTTCCGGAGCAAATTCAAAAGTCCGGAGCAGATTTGAAAATTCCGGAGAGGTGATTTTGATGATGGTCGATCCATATCGTCGTGAAGAAGAGAATACACTGTACAACTTAAGAAACTCAAGGGAGAATTAGTAAAAGAGACAAGTAAAAGGATCCTATGTATTTAGAGGAAAAATAGTTCTGAAGAAAGATAAATGAGTTCGGAGCATATTTTTATTCCGAATACTTCGATCATAGAGAACATATCTCCTGAAAAAATTGAGGATCAGGCATCATCATACCCATTTTGTTCAGAAAACCATTAAATTTGGTTTTGTCTAATACCTTAGTAAACACATCAGCAATTTCATCGTCAGATGGAACAAAAATAAGTTCGATGTTACCATTTAGAACATGATCTTTAATAAAGTGGTATCGAATGTCAATGTGCTTCGTCATGGAGTGTTGAATTGGATTGTGTGAGATGGCAATGGCACTTTGAGAATCACAATAGATAGGAATGCATTGAAATCGGTAACCATAATCCAAGAGTTGAGATTTCATGCAGAGAACTTGAGTGGTATAACTGGCAGCAACAATGTATTCAGCTTTGGCTGTAGAGAGAGCAATCTAGTTCTGTTTCTTGGATGACCAGTTGACCAAACGACCACCTAGGAATTGACATCCTCCTAATGTACTTTTCCTATCGAGTTGAATACCACCATAGTTCGAATCAGAGTAAGCTTGCAGAAGGAAGCTTTCATTTGTTGGATACCAGATTCCGAGGTTCTTTGTACCTTTGAGGTACCAAAAAATTTGCTTCACAACCAAAAGATGAGACATCTTTGGATTGAATTGAAATCTGGCACATAAGCATGTTGAGAACATTATTTCTGGACGACTTGCAGTAAGATAGAGTAAGGATCCAATCATTCCATGGTACTTCTTATCATCTACTAAAACACCCGAAGGGTCGGGAAAGATTTTGTGACCGAAGCCCATAGGTACCTTAGCTGAGGCACAGGTGTCCATAGAGTATTTCTGAACAAGCTCCAAAATGTACTTCTCTTGGTGAATAAAAATACCTTTGTTAGTCTGTTTCACTTGAAGACCAAGAAAGAAGCTTAATTCTCGATTCATGCTCATTTGAAAACAACTGACCATCAAGTTGGAAAAACTAGCAACCATGGATGAATCCGTAGATCCAAAAATGATGTCGTCCACATAAATTTTTACAAGCATGAGATGTTTTCCATTTAATCTTCTAAATAAAGTGGGATCAAGTATACCTCTTTGAAAACCTGAGCGCTTGAGAAAATCAGTGAGAGTCTCGTACCAAGCCCGAGGAGCTTGCTTGAGTCCGTAGATAGCCTTTCTGAGTTTGTAACAGTAGTTTGGAAAGGAAAGTTTAATAAATCTGGGGGGCTATAGAAGGTATACTTCGGTGTCAAGCTCACCATTAAGAAAAGCACTCTGAACATCCATTTGATAAGCTTTGAAACCTTTTTGGGATGCATAGGCAAGAAAGATTCTGAAAACTTCAAGTCGTGCAACAGAAGCAAATGTTTCGTCGTATTCAAGACCTTCAATTTGAGTGAAACCTTTAGCTACCAATATTTCCTTATTTCGGATGATAACTCCTGCATCGTTTAGCTTGTTGCGAAATGCCCATTTTGTACCAACAATAGGGTGATGTTGAAGAGGAGGTACGAGATTCCAGACTTCATTTTGATCAAATTCTGCCAGTTCGTCTTGCATGGATGTAATCCAATCAGCATGTTCTAATGCTTCCTTGATGGATTTGGGTTCAACCATGGAAATGAATGCTGAAAAGTGGCATTCATTTTGAATGTTGGTAGCTGAGCGAGTTTGAACACCAACATTCGGGTTGCCAATCACTTGGTTTGGAGGACGATCCTTCGTCCAAACATGCAATCGAGGGAGTTCTTGAAGGATCAATTTATATGTTTTGGGCTAGGCATCAATGCATGGAAGGATTAGGGTCATTGCTATTGTGTTTTGGATTAGTCTTGTGTCTAGATGAGTTTTCGGTCCAGGTTGGTTTTCGTTCAAACCTCTTTGACGGAAAACCTGTTTTCGGTCTTATTTGTTGTAGCCTTAAATAGCTGCAAGGTTGTCATATGTAGTGTGTGAGCAAGTTCGTTTTCGGTGAGTTCCAAGTTGTATCTGACACTTCTTTGATTAAATGTATGCAAGCTTGGATCATTAATTTCCTCTTCTTCTTCTCCATTTCTAATACAATTGATTGATCATTAGATTGATCCTACGAATTTGGGACCTAACAATTGGTATCATAGCTATTCTAGTGTCAATCAATTGTGTTTTAGCTTTCGGTTCATTGAAATTCTGTTTGAAATCTGCTCCAGTTTGAAGATTGGATTGTTGTTTGAATCAAGATCTGCATCAGATTTGAATTTGTGCTGGGATTATTACAGTTTTCGGTTTATCTTCAGAAACCGAGAACTCATCTTCATCTTATTCTGTTCAGATTTGTGCATTTGGAAGCATTTTTAGAAGTTTTGGCTGTGCAATCATCTGAAATCATATCGAGAATCAACATTTTCACTGCAAAATCATTAGTTTTCAGTTCATCTTCATTAACCGAAAGCTACTCTTGTTTATCCTTCAGAAACCGAAAATCCAAGCAACCTTCATAAACCGAAATCCTTTCACCAATCTTCAAAAACCGAAAACCCTCCATCAACCTTCATAAACCGAAATCCTTTCATCAATCTTCAGAAACCGAGAACCCTCCATCAACCTTCATAAACCAAAATCCTTTTTTCAATCTTCAGAAATCGAAAATTCAAGCAGAAACCGAAATCACTTAGAAACCGAAAAGTTATTTGATTCTTGTTTTCGGTCTAGTTTCTCAACCGAAAAAACTATTTTTGATCATTGAATTTAATTTTCTTAAAAAATTAATTAAAAAAATGGAATCTCAAAGCATGATTGCTTATCAAGAATTGGATGCAATTATGGGGACTACTACTCGAATTCCCCGATTGCTATCAGCAGAAGGATTTCCTGAATGGAAATATCGAATTGAAAAATATATCAAGATGAAGGATTTCAAGATTTGGAGAAGTATTTTAAGACGTCCAATTCTCATTACAACAACTCTAGAAGATGACACTATCGCAGACAAACAGGTTGAAAACCACACTGATGACGATTTTGAAAGAGTCAAGGAACAAGAAAAGGCACTTGCTACACTTACCATGGCATTGTCTCCGGAGATTGCTCAAGGATTTCGTGAGTATACATCAGCAAAGGCACTGTGGGAAGCACTGATAGAAGTCTATAAAGGCAACAAAGACATGAAACAAAGTCGCAAAGACATGCTACGACAAAAATTCAATATGTTCAACTATGTCTTGGGAGAAACACTGTAAAATCAATTGCAAAGGTTTATCACACTCACCGCAGAAATGAGCTCTGCTGGTGTGATGGTTACAAGATCGGAGATCAACAAAAAACTGCTAAATTCTCTTCAAAAATCCTAGAATATGAATGTCTCAGTGATTAAGAAGACTAAACACCTGAATCGATTAAGATTAGCCGAAACAATGACGATATTCAAGGCTTGCGATCTTGATGATAAGCAAAGAGAGATCAACCATGTCAATTCATACTCCATAGCTAATCTTGGAATTCAAAACAACAACAACACCGCTTTCTCAAACTTTACTACTCATCAAACTCCTCAAGTTCATGTTCCTCAAGTTCAAGCTTATGTAACTCATCAAACCATCCCATACACCATACCTCTAATGAAACAAACTCAAGTCCATCAAACTCAAAACTTAACTCAACAAGTTGGTTCTAGTGCTGGGTCCTCCACAGCTGTTTCAGTTCAATGTCATGGAATTAGTTTACAAGGTTCAACTGCAAACGAAAAGGAAGAAAATTTGGATCTTGCCACTGGTTTAGTGAACTACTACAATGCTTTGTGGCTGGAGAACTCTCTCTACAACTCTCATTTACTGACCTCGACCAGATCCATCCTGAGGATGTGGAAGAGATGGACATTACTTGGCAAATGGCCATTGCGGTTTTCAGGGCCAAGCAATTCTCCAAGAAAACAGGAAAAAACAATTGGAGTGTAAATTTCGACAAGAAATGGGATTTAGTAAGGAAAAATTGCGATGTTACAATTGTCATGAGCCTGGACATTTTGCAAGGGACTGTCCAAAACCAGATCGAAGAGAGAAATCTGAGCGAACCATGGTGTCAGTGACTTATTTTAACAAAGGATTGTCTTCAAGCAATCAGTCTGCTAACTTGGTGATGGTGGCCAACACTACTAGAAAATTGCCCTTTAATGACGCGCAAACAATGACGCGAGCTAATAGAGGACGTGCATTTGTGCATGCCCTAAAAAATAATGTTAGCTCTGGAAACTTTGAAGGATAGAGGGCACGCATTTTTGAGCACCCTAAAATTAGTGTCCAACAAAAAAAAAATTAAAAACACGGAGGGCACCTATCCTAAAAAGCGTTTCGTGTTATCCTGTCGCTTTATAATTTTAGTCTATTAGCACATGTTTTCATTTTTTTTGGGGGGGCGAATGAAATCCAAAAAATTAAAAACCCCGCTTGCATCTCATCCTTCCACGGGAATGATCAACTCATCAGACTCACCATCTCTCTCTCTCTCTCTCTCTCTCTCTCTCTCTCTCTCTCTCTCTTTCTCTTTCTCTCTCTCTAGTTCCGATCCATACCACCACCATGGTTGTCGCAGCTACATCTCACCACCAGCAACCTCAACACAATCGACCATCACCACCATTCCTACCATCCATCACTGCCCTACCATCTTCTCCATCACCACCTCTTTCTTGTTCTATGTGAAACCATAAAATCGGTACCAACAACTGATAGGTTCAATTCTAACCCTAATTCGTTCTCCCCCCCCCCCCTTTCCTCCACAACAACTGATAGGTTCGATTCTAACACTGATAGGTTCGATTTTATGGGGTTCACGAAGCGTGGTTTATACATCTAGGATTTCTGAATTTCGAGTATTATGCACACAAATGTCAGACAAAATATGGCCCGATTCCAGTTCTTAAAGCCCTCAACTCCGATTAACATGTGATCAAGGCTGGAAGAATTATCGACTCCTTCAAATAAATATTATCTTCTTCCTATATCAATCTGTTTTCGTCTATGCTCAACATTCCAAGGTACAACTCTCTTTTAAAATCCAATATCAACACCTATTCATTTACTTTACATGAATTCTCATCATCGCATTCGACTTCATCATTCCCAGGAATGATTTTTCTAAATTCATCTCTTTACTTACCTGATTGTGTTATCTACTTGTTGGTGGGATTTCTATCAAGTTTAATTTTAATTTAAGGTGAAATGATCAAGTGCACGTGAGGTGTTTGATGAAATGCTCAAGTGAGTGTAGACAATAATTTCTTTCATCTTTTGGCTATGTAAAGATGGAGTTAATAAGATGGGAAAGGATGGAAAAGTTGACATGTTGTGACATCAGGGCCAAAAGGTTGCTACAATTCACATAATCGATGCCCACACCGAACATCTGTTTTCTTTTCTTGCTGGCTTTCTCATGATTTGTTCTTTGTGACTTCAGATAATTACAGAATTCAAGGGGCAAGGATTGAATACCGAATTGTACAACAAGAACAAAGACAGAGGGGAAACTTATAGTATCGTACCACAAGTGCTATCAGGTAGTTTTTTTATGAGATCTACTTTTCACACACCATTTGAATACTGGGTTTTGAACTTTGAACAAAATCTTTGATTTTTGGGGCAAAACAGTGGTGAAGGCATACCTAAGATGTTGTTACTACTTATCCAATGGGCTCAGAAGACAATGATTGAAAAACTTACATACAGCAGTGATATTCAGGTGTGTGTGTGTGTGTGTATGTATATATCTCCTTTTTCCAATTCCACCTTTATTCCATCTATGAGAGTTCTGATTATTGATTCTTGGAATGAAAATCTTTGTAGTGTACGGTATTGGAGGTTAAAGTGATAGAAGACCTTGGAACAACCATTGATGTGGTTTTGGTTAATGGTGTGCTTGATGAAGGATATGAAATTGTTGTTTGTGGCTTTCAGGTAAGTGCAAACACTTTGTTGCTACATTCAAGTTACTTTCTGTTTGTGTGCTATAATTAATAAATATATGAACGAATGACGCTATTTTCTTATTTAAAATAGAATGCATGTGCATGTGCAGGGGTCAATTCATACAACAATCCAATCATTTTTGACTCCTCACCCAATGAAGGAACTCCGAGTAAAGGTGAGGATATGTTTGAACCTTTTTGGGCATTTTAAATTTGACAGTTGTTTTTCAAATTCATTAGTTTTGTTGAGTCTTTATGAGTTTGTTTGTTGTTTGATTCAGGGAGCTTACATTCGTCATAAAGAAATCAAAGCTGCACAAGGGATTGATTTACTTACTTCGCTTCATAGACCCTTCTCTTTTACTGTCCCATGTGGAAGATTTCCCAAATAGATTGATTTGTGGTATGTTGCTGATGGAGACACAAGATAGAGGTGATGTCAAAGGAGAAGTTTCTCCTCGTGACATAGTTTACACATAGGTTGCTGGAGGTGAAGAAGACCCAAACATCTTTCACATGCTTGATCTTCTCTATGAGTAAGTTTGTCTTTTTTATTTTCCCTCAGCATAAAGTCATATCTTTTTTTTCAATATCAGCAGAGGAATAAGCTGGCGTGATGATTCACTTGCATTGATATATGAATATGCGTACTCTGACCCATGTTGTGGAGAACTTCTGATGGGACTTCTGTTATTGCCAAGTTCAAGAAGGATGATAAACAAGAGACATACCCGTTGCTAAATGGAAGTGGTGCTACTTCAGAAGGAAACACGAAATAATTAAGGTGTATTTACATTCTACATTTCTACATTACATTACATACCCACATCTTTTATTTATACTATAACTTACGTTTTATATATATTCTTAGGGCTATGAAGGAGAACCCGATAATTTGGGCAATTGTGAACAGGTACATAATACCCATCTTCTGGATTTATATCATTAGTATGTCAGTGAAGTTGGGGACCGAAATTTAAAAATTTAATATCTGCTTTTTTGTAACAGATCTTCTTAGAGCTAATGAAAGTTCCATGTATGTCAGTGAAGTTGGGGACTGAAATTTAAAAATCTAATATATGCTTTTAAGACATGACGAAACAAAGGCACATTTTGATTTGGTTTTAAACTTTGGTGTTAGATCTTTAACTTTGATTTTGGGTTGGTTTGATTTATATAGGATTTGGTTGAATTTGGTTAGGGTTTCTTTAGGAAAGAGATGGATTGCTGTTGGGGTTTAAGTATACACCATGACCATGAAAGAGAGAAGCGATAAAGTATACAAGGGTAAAATGGTCATTCTCATAAATTTAGTTGATTCAGGGACCAAAAGTGTTATGAAAAATTTCCCTCATCAAGCCTTCAAAACTTGTTCCTTCCCTCAAGGTATACATATATATATTTTTAACCTCCTTTAATACTTTTTAAATTAATTAATAAAATTTAATTGTTTTTAATATAAATTTTTTAAGAGCGAACAACTAGTCTTGCTGCATTCACCAGGGCAACGGTTGTTGTTGCGGTCAAGTATTTGATAGTTGAACGACCAGAGAAGATCGATGCGGTCCTCTACCCTGAAATTTCCTCATTTCTTATGCTTATCAAGGATCAGGACCGGGTAAGTCTCTCTCCCTCTCTCTCTCTCTTTATATATATATATATATATATATATATATATATATATATATATATATATATATATATATATTCCAATATCCTACATACCTTCACACAAATGGAAACACGGTAACTTTTATGAACTTTTCCTTCTATCTTCCACTCTCTGTGATACACAAGTCTTATTATGTTTGGATAACTTACAAGTTACAGTCTATTTGGACATGAAACTACTGGGGGCAGAATGTGAGGGTGACTTACTAGGTGTACAAACCTGATCCTGTCTCTTTCTATTTCATATATGTGTCTACACCTAAGTGAGCTTATTCTTATTCTTTTACTTTTACAGTTACCACTAAAATCAATCCAAATCCTTTTGATTATGTCCCTAAGACATAGTCACAGACCTTGAGGCCTTCTTCAAAGCATTCTGACCAAAATACCCTTCACAACATTTACCTTTTTATCCTTCTTCTTGAGACTTTGTTTTGACTTATCCTTGAGGTACATACTAACCCATAAACTTAAACTCTCTGCCTGATACCCTGTTAACTGTAAGCTTTACTAAAGTAATTAACTTTTTCACATATTTTGAGCTGGTTTTGGGCAAGGTGGTTTTGGGCCTATTTTCAGTTAATTTTCTTCACAAGAGGTTGCAATAATGCCAATTATAAGTGCTTTATTATAGGGTAAGCTTCCTGGAGGCAAATAAATTGTAGTGAAGAGGTTGTCAAGCCTCTCTGGACAAGGTTGGCAAGAGTTCAAAAATGAGGTTATGCTTATTGCTAAACTTCAGCATTGAAATCTTGTTAGACTATTAGGATATTGCATCAAGGGAGAAGAACAGATTCTTCTTTACGAGTACATGCGAAATAGAAGCCTAGATATATTTATATTTGGTTTGTTCATTTATCTATTCATATGCTTAGTTATATCTGTAAACATAACTAACTTTTTTTATATTAAGATAAAGAAAGGTCTTCATGATGCTGAATTTTTCTAATATTGGTTTTGTGCTGCAGACAGTATGGTACAAGGGAAAGTAAAGAAGTTACATTGGAAGGGAGAGTTCAGTTTGATTTACTTCGGGTCATTTCTTCTAATAAATGTTATTGAACAAGTAAGTTGATATATAGGGAAACTATAAGGTTTTGATTCATTGTCTTATTTTCTGCAGGCTATGCAAAGAGATTATAAATTGAGCTCGTACTCACTGAATTCTGTTTCAACACACTTTTTAAGGAGCATGTATTATTTTTACGTTCTAGAAAGGTACATATAACTAACTTTTTTTATATTATGAAACTATATCTTATATATATTTATATATAAAACTAGTACAAGTTTCACGTGCCATTAGTGCGGGTTAGATACGAATTTTGTGCATGCAACATCGATTAGAAGAAGAAGCAGAAGGAAAGGTTTTGGGAGGAGAGTAATCTCATAATTAAGAGTCACATGGGAAGGTGCTTTAAAAAATTGTAAACCACACCACACGTTAAGGTCCTAGGGTCTTGTTCAATGCTTTAGCTGTGTTTGCTCTAAGGGAGATCAACTTATCAAAAGTAAGTTATTTTTTTACCCTTTTTCTGTAAATGATGTTGTGATTGCTGTGATTGTGGGAGAGGTGTTGTGTTTTTCTCTGTTGCTAGGTAACCTTCTCAACAACAGCATTCTACTTAAGCAGGTGAGTAATCAAGATTAAGGGAGACTTGTAATCATGTTTGGCATTCCTTTCCAATAAGAAATAGAGTTGTATGATTATTTGTTGGTTTTATAGGAATGTATAACCCATGTTAGCAATGTATTATTTTTGTTTAACATTTGAATGATTCTTTGTATGACATTATAATTTGTGCAATTTATTTTATTTTTTGAGTATGAAATTTTATTTTGTATTATGCAATGGATTATATTTTTTGTATATGGTATTTTATTTCTATTATGAGAAATTAAAAGAAAATTTAATTTAGAAATTCATAAATATATAAATTTATTTTTTTTAAACATTTAAATTTACGATACGCAAAAATGTGTGTCATCTTCATTTATGACATGGGCTTTCTTGACAGGGGCTCTCTTGATACGCATTGCGTGTCATTAACACGCGCATCGTAAGGTTACGACACGCGAATGTGTGTCGTCTTTCTTTATGACAAGGCCTTCCTTGATACGCATTGAGTGTCGTAAACACGCGTCGTCTCTCTTTATGACAGGGCCTTCCTTGACGCGCATTTGTGCGTCGTCTGAGCCGTTTACGACGCGCAATGAGCGTCGTAAAAGGCTGTTTTTCTGCCAATCCTTTAGTTGGGAAGATCAAATTCAGGCCTTAAACATTTCGGGACCTGAAAATGCACATATTGCCGAAATCATGGATGAAATGGGAGAAGAAACAGAGAAAGATCCAGAGTGAATCTTCAGTTTGCATTCATGGTGCACACCACTCCAGAACCCGTCAAACCTGAGGTTAGTGAATTTGGTTGCTCTCAGTCTTGTATTAAAACTGTTAAATTTTTGCGAGATCAAATTGAAATAATCAAAAGAGAGAACGAGGACCTTAAATATGAGGGATACACACTTAGGAAAAATCAAAAGCCCCTAAAGACTCAATTAGAAAATAAAACCAAGGACGTTAAGAAGTTGCAAGAGGATTACAACAACAAATGTGAGAACTATGATCATCTCAAAAGAAAAATTGTTGTTGTAACCGCAGAACTTGACACATTGAAAAATCGTTTTGAAAATGTTGAATTTAATTTTAAAAAATACGATGGGTCAAGTGAAAATATTGCAAAAATGATCGAAGGACAAATGCACTAGAAAGATATTACTCATGGAAATCAGATAAAAGTTGGACTAGGATTTCAGAGTGTCCCCCCTCCCTTCAATCATAATTACACGGCTATTCCCTTGTCTCAAGAAGAAAATGATAGAGAACCTCACATGGTATATGGAAAGTCAGCTTCTAAGCAAGCAATACAGTTTAATAATAAGATTTTACATACTAACATTTCTACCTTAAGTGCAAATGTGTCAGTAGTTCAGGGGGAGCATGAAGCTGAAAAGTTTGAGTCAAATAATCATGTGTCTAAATTTGTTGTTGAATTCTATGATGAGTTTGTGTTCAATTGAAACACTAAATTTTTTATTACTGGTCGTGTATTATTTCAGACTGATAATTCTGATAATCATGGTGTTGTTTCTAATAAAATTGCTAAATCTGATTTGAATGTTTCTACACCTTCCACGTCTATTTCAAAATCCTATGAAGGTTCTTGCAAGTGTGAAAGTGTTAGAAATAAAAATGAAAGGAAGAAATCTATCAATAGCAGTGCCAAAACCATTGATAATAAACAAATCTGTTTTAATTGTGGCACTGCTGGACACATTGCAAGAAATTGTTTGAACCAGATGTTTGTATCTCACACATCAAAAAGAGGAGAGAATGAATTTCGGGGACGATCTTTAACTAGAAAAATCCTCCAGAACTCGTTCTCGAAATGGTCACTTGAACACTAATCTAAACAAGAAAATGGCAAAGTTCCAAATGAATAAACAGGTTTTCCATAAATTCAACAATAGTTTGCCAAAATCAACTCAGGCTAAGCCTAAGTCAATTTTGTCAAAGAGCGGGATCGGATCTTCAAACTCTTCGAGTAGAAAATCCACCGGCTCGAAGCAAACTAACACACTTTCAAAACCTAACTTTCAGTGGATACCAAAATTGAATTCAGATCAGTCACCATTTACCTCTAAATCTAATGAAACGAAAGAATCAAATGAAAAATCTGTGAAAGGGAAGGGTCAACCCAGGACTTTGATGACCTGGGTTCCCAAATCTAAATGATTCCGCTCATCGTGCAGGGACAGTTGCAGAGGAATATCGTCAGACCTTGGTATGTCGATAGTGGCTGCTCCCAGTACATGACAGGAGATATCTCCCAGGTGCATGATATTCAAACATTTAGTGGGGGCTATGTCTCGTTTGCGGGCGGTGAAGGTGGAAAAATAAGTCAGAAAGGAACAGTGACAAACGGAGTGCTCAGTTTTGAGAATGTCAGTTATGCTCCTGAATTGAATCATAGTCTGTTGAGTGTCTCTCAAATTTGTGACAGAGGGTATTCAACGCATTTTACCGAGAAATAATGTCTGATCTTAAAACCAGGCATTGTCATTCCAGAAGAGTGGATTCTTGTAAAATCTAAGCGGGATGAGAATGCCTACATCATAGACATGAACAGAAATATCCCTGACGAAGTCACTTGCCTATTCTCTAAAGTCTCAGAACAAAATGCAATGTTGTGGCATCGTCGTCTCGGTCACGCTAATGCAAAGAATCTGAATCGGCTTGCAAAGAACAAACTGGTCCGAGGTTTACCTATTAGAGATTTCATTACTTTTGAAAAATGTGTTTCATGTGCTCAAGGAAAACATCATGAGAAAACACACTTTCCAAAGCAGATCAACTCCATTAGTTAAGTGCTCGAGTTGTTACATATGAATTGATACTGTCTCATTGTGATAGACGACTACTCTCGGTTCACTTGAGTTTTCTTTCTGTCCAACAAAGCTGGGATTGCTGACCTCATCAAGAAGTTCATTGTGATGATCGAGAATCAGACCAACAACCGAGTGAAAGCGTTGCGTACTGATAATGGAACAGAGTTCAAGAATGCTATTCTTGACAACTTTTACGCTGAGAAAGGGATTGTGCGTCAATTCAGTTCTATTTGCACGCCACAATAAAACGTTGCCGAACGTAGGAATCGAACTCTTAAAGACGTCGCAAGGACGATGCTTTGTGACTCCAAACTTCCTGTGTTCTTTTAGGCGGAGGCGATTAACACGGCGTGTTACGTTCAGAATTGCATGCTGATCAATAAAGCCAAAATGAAAACACCATATGAAATTCTATACTGACACAAGCCATCTATCAGTCATCTCAGAGTATTTGGCTGCCCTTTCACCCTTCTTCACTTGGAATCCGACCCCAAATTTAATGCAAAAGCCGATAACTATTATTTTGTTGGATACGCTGCTCGTACTGCATAAAGGGTTTATAACAAGAAGACAAAATAGATTGTGGAGTCTTTCAATGTTTGTTGGCTTGAAGAGAATGAGACAGACGCTAGCGTGGGTCCAAATTGGTTATTTGATTACACATCTCTCTTCAATTCATTCAACGTGTTGTCGGATAATCAAGTAGGGTCTACATCTAATTCGAAGATTATTATTGAAGACGAGGAGGAATAAGTTGTCTACAGACCACCACTGGTTTCTTCTGATCCTCCAATGGTGTCCTCTATTCAAGCTAATTCTTCTGCATCCTCCCCTCAACAACCTTCTCCTGATGCTATTGCTACTCCTCTAACTCCTATGGAAAGAGAGTTCATGAATCAAGAGACTTCTGCTATAACTTCAAATATGATGGAACTTCTCTTTCCAGAAAGCATTGCTGAATAGTTTGTAGCAGATCTGACAATTGAACCTAGTTCATATACCGTGGATCATACAACAAATATCAGAGCGGTTAACATCCATAATCTTCCAGTCTTTATCAATGACATCGGCTACGATATCCCTACACGCATTCAACACGACCATCCTATAGATAAAGTCATTGGGCAGCTGGGAGACGGTGTTCAAACTCGAAGTCAGAGTAGAGATGTCAATGCATGTCTCTACTCTTGCTTTATTTCTCAGATAGAGCCCAAGAATTTCGAAATGGCTCTGAATGAGGCCAGCTCGGTTGACGCCATGCATGATGAACTCAATCAGTTCCAGAAGCTCGGGGTTTGGAAGTTGGTCGATCTGCCAAAAGGAAAGAAATATCTTGATACCAGATGGGTCTTTCAGAACAAGCAAGACGACTCGGGTGTCATTATGCGCAACAAGGCGAGATTAGTTGTTCGTCGGTTTCGGAAAAATGAGGGTCTTGATTATACGGAGGTTTATGCTTCGGTGGTGCGCTTGGAGGCTATTCGTATCTTCCTCGCATATGCTTCCTATATGAAGTTTACCGTATATCAAATGGACGTCAAGATGGCTTTCTTGTATGGCAAGGTCAAGGAGGAGATTTATGTTGACCAACCTCCTGGTTTTGTTAACTCAAAGCTTCCCAACCATGTCTACAAGTTAGACAAAGCTTTGTATGGGCTGCATCAAGCACCTAGAGCTTGGTATGCTACCC